TTTTCCTGCAAATGTTTCAGTTAAAAACAGACAGATTTCTGGGCCTCCCCTGGTGGCGCAGTGGTTGAGCGCTGGGCTGCGAGGCTGCCCGCAGCCTCTGCAAGCGCCAGTTCGATCCCCGGCCGCCAGAGAGGGTCCCACAAAAAAAAAAAAAAAAAAAGATTTCTCTGATCATCTAACTCAGCCACAGGGATTTTTCAATTCTAAATGATAATGTTGAGTTCTTTTTAGAAAAAACCTGGTAAAAATGTTGAATTTTTGAGTGGGCATAATGGATGATTTCTAGCATTACAAAAAAAAAAAAAAAACAAAAAAAAAACCAAGATAAACCTTAGTTAAATCCAGTTTCACTTAATTTAAGCAAACAGTTTTTTCTGGATGAGTATTTACTGATTTTTCTCAAAACATTCAAACTGCATTTATTTCTGGGTAGGACTTTTGTTCTTTTGTACTTGTGAAGGATTATCTCAAACTTTTTCTTTTTAATTAATAAATTTCCTAAGTTTTAACAACTAGAATGTGAGTCATTAAGAAATGTGAAAGAGGGCCTCCCTGGGTGGCTCAGGAGGTTGAACGCAGAGCTGTGAAGCTGTCGGGGGTTCGACAGCACGGGTTCGATCTCGGCCAGCCCGCAAGAATCCCACTTGGCGCGGGAAACCTCGTCTGTCCCGCCCGCTGCTCCCCTCAGCAATATATTTCAGTCTTCCTGTTCTGCTCCCCACTCTGTCTGGTGGATCCTCTCACCCTCCTGCGCATCTGGCCTGTACCCCGGTTCTTGTATGCATGAATAAATAAATCTTTAAAAAAAAGAATTGTGAAAGAAAAATAGGATAATTCTTGCAGAGAATTATTTTTTTCATTAACACTGATATGTTACTTTTTAAGATGGAAAGAATTTTAGTGTTTTAAAAACTAATAGAAAAAAGCCAGTAGAGAGGGATGATCCAGGGAGGAGAGAGTTGAAGGAACAAAGTTCCAGAAAATGTGGGGTGGTAAAGAGACATGAGATCGTTTCTTCCATTATAACAGAAGTTACAGAGAACAAAATATGGTTATAGATTCAGATGTATTTTTAGTTTGGCGGAAAGGGTATTTTATGGTTTCTATTTTTTTCTATAAAGTTGGAAGCAAACCCATTTGTTCCCTAAAAGGGATTTCAGAACATTAGAAAGAATGGAGAAGAGTTGACTTTCTTCCAGGGGGATGGAAGAGGAGATTAGAGAAATATGTCAAGACAAACAGGAAGCATCAAGAGGCCACTTGAGTAATGCCAAGTTATGTGATCTTCTTAAGCAGTGCTTGGCAATCTGAATGAAGTGCCAACTAGAATCAGCCAAAGTTGAGATTTTTGCCAGTTGCTAAGATGGAGAGACAATAAACAAGGAACTTGAAACTACTGGTAAGAAAATGATTCGAGTGACAAAGAATAGATTCTAAGTTTAATAAAGAAGAGAAGAGGTATGGTCATAGAAAATGTAATCTAGAGATCTTCCATAAAGTCAAGGACCTGAAATCTTGTAAACAGTTGTCTAAGAGATCTGAAAAGATAGGCTGTTTCAGCCTGAGAATGGTTTTAGAGAGTGACTCTGAGTATTGATCAGTTCTTCAGCCGGCAGTCAGCGTGCTTACTTAAAGTGGACCTCAAGAAAGAGAGGTCATGGCATTGCATGGGCCATCCATATGGGTGGAAAAGGCACTTTGGATGATCATGGGACTTGAGACTATGAATCAAATACCAAAATCTTAGCAAAGGGAGATTAGTAAATAATAACAGCAGTGAGGAGGGGATAAATGATACTAGGGCCAGATGGTATGTGCATCAAAGGAGCTGATTTTTAAAAATATTTTACTAAAGTGTAACATACATAAACAAAAGTACACAAATCAGAAATTTATGAATCATTAGTTACTAAATACTGATTCTATATATATAGCCACCATGTAGTCAGTAAATACATTTCCAAAATCTCAGAAGTCCCTACCTTATACTGACTCCTAATCATTTTTTTCTCCAATCTCTATAAATGAAACCATTATTGAATTTCTAAAATCTTAAATTCATTTTCCCTGTTTTCTGAAGTCTAAATAAATGGAATCATATACTTTCTGTGTAGTCTTTTAATTCTGGCTACTTAAGGAAAATATTATGCTGGTGAGATCTTCCATGTTGCCACATGTAGCAGGCATTTATTTTTACTGCTGGTGAGTACCTAATTTCATGATATGACTATTCCACAATTGATCCTTTTATCTTTCTACAGTTGATGGACCTATCAGTTCTCCTCCACACCCAAGCTGATCTCCACTCCACTCCCAATTATGATCTTTTAGGATCTTGCTTTTTGATGCATTTCTGTTGAGTGTATACCAAGATTAGAATTGCTGGATCATAAGGTATACATATGTTCAACTTTAGTTTTCCAAGACTATTGGATCAATATATAATTCCTTTCAGCAGCATGAGTTTTAGTTGTTCCATATTGTGATTATTAATTGATATTGTCATCTATTTAAATTTAGACATTCCGGTGGATGTGTTTTTATATTTCATCATCATTTAAATTTTATTTCTTTGATGATTAATGAGGTTGATATATTCTATTATGAATCACCTGTTCAAGTATACTGCCAGTTTTTTCTATTGGATTGTCTCTCTTATTCTTATTGATGTATAGATGATTTCATATATTTGGGATATGAGTTTCTTGGTGGCTATATATATATATATATATACACACACATAAAATAGTTTTATATATATATATGTATAAAATAGTTTCTCCTATGTGGTAGCCCGAACTTTGATTTCATTACTGGTGTATTTTGATAACCAGAGTTCTTGGTTTTAGTCTAATTTATTAATCTTTTCCTCTATATTCATACTTTTTGTAGCCTGTCTGATGTAATTGTCTTCCCCAAGGTCATGAAGAAATTTTTGCAGTAGAACTTTTTGCAAAGACACAAATGTTTATATCTGTACCATTCAGAGGTAGTCACTGGCTGCGTGTTCTGTCAAGTCTTGAAAATCTGGCTAGTGTGACTAAGGAACTGAATTTTAAATTTTATTTAATTTTATTAAATTTATATACCCACATATAGCTATTAGTTGTTATACTGAGCAGCTTTGTTATCTGGATTCTTCATAATTTTGTTTTATCAAATTATTTTGTGGAATAAACACTGGAAGCTGGTTTTATTTATGGTAAGGGGTTCAATTTCATTTTTCCCCCATATGGGTATCAGTTGGCACAGCACCATTTATTAAAAAGATTGTCCTTTCCACATTGCTCTAGCATCTTTGTTATATTAAGTTCCACATATGTGTAGAAATATTTAAAATTTAAGAGCAGCTTGTTAATTTCTATATTATGCTGAGACTCTGTTTACAAATTATATCTAGAGATCAATCTGCAGAGAATGGAAATTTTTACAATATTGACTCTTCCAGTTTATGAATATGGTATATCCCTCTATTAATTTAGTCTCAGATTTTAACATTACTTTCCTACCTACAGATTTGACATGTTTTGTTATTAGCTTCTTCCTTTGTCTAGAGCCTGCAGTACATTGTTGAATGGATGTGGAAATATGGGCATCTCATTCCCAATTTCAGAAGGAAAACTTTAATATTTTAAGTGTGAGGCTTGTATTAAGTTTTACTGTAGGTATTCTTTATCTGATATAGGAAGTTTCCTCCAATTTCTAGTTTACTTAGTGTTTTGAGATTTATTGTAATTATATGCTTTATCTTCATCTTTTAAGATGATCAAATGATTTTTTTCTCTTAATATAGTTAAGTATATCAATTGATTCTCAAATGTTAAGCCAACTTTGCATTCCTGAGAACAACTTACAACTTGATTGTAAAACACTATATTTTTAATGGCTTTCTGGATTTAGTTTGCTAATATATTTTAGGACATTTTTATTCATATTCATAAGAATATTTTTTTTCTTATAATGTCCTTGTCAGTTTTAGACATCAAGCATATGTTGTCTCTATAAACTGGATTGGAAAGGGATCTTCTATTCTCTGGAGCAGTTAATGTATTGGTGTTATTCTTGAAATGTTTGGGAGAATTCATCATTGAAGTCATCTGCATCTGGAGTTTCTTCACAGGAACATTTTTTTTAAATGAATATTTTTTTTCTTCAATAGATATGACACTACTCAGCTATCAGTATAATTATGGCTTTTGGGAGAAGATAATCTTTTTTCCTTTGACTAATTTCAGGATTAATATCTTGGCTTTTCAGTATTTTTTAAAAATATGTCTATGTGTTGTAGTCCCTGTGTATATTCATTGAGATTCATAGTTTTCTTTGAATCTGTGGATTGATTTTTTTTTAATTCTTGACTATTTTTCTCTTTATATATTTTGCTTCTATCCCATGTTCTCTATATACTCTTTTGGTGACCCCAAAAGAATTCTTTATTTATTTCATATGTCTTTTATATGCTTCTCTCCCACCCCCACCGCCACTTCTGTTTCTATGTGCTTCATTCTGGATTTCTTTTTTTTTTAAATAAATATATTTTATTATTGAAATGTTTTCTCTGAAGGTACACAAAACTTAATCAATTGCTTGACTTTGTAACTGCCTCCATTAAAAAACCAATAATTACTATTATAACATTAAGATAATTAAAGTCATTTGTAAAGACGGTATCAACTGAGACTTGCTGTACTTATAACTAATCCATTATAAACAAATGCCAATCTTAAAAACACAATTCCAGAAGTGCAGCACACGAGCACAGATAAGAAGGTACAAGGAACGCATTGGCTATGCTACACTATACGGACGGGAAGTGAAACGGATTTGTACGGAGGCCTATATAAATAAATAAAATCTTATCTTCCTTTCCTGTATGTCTGCTTAGATTTTGCGTATGAGTAACAGAACGTGCCTTTTCATTCACTTCAATAGGATGGACTCTAGAAAGAACTGAAAAGATTTGATAATCAACTCTTAAATTTTATGCTTATTTTTTCTACTTCTATCAATTTCCTGATGTATTTCACAGACGCAGGAATATCTTTTCAGTAAACAGGGCAACTGAAGACCCCAATCAAAGCTTGAGCAGAGACGCAAACGTGGGCAAGACTCTGCAGTCACATGTACCCCATGTTGCTTTTGGTCTCCCATCTCTTCTTTGCTTCAAACCCCCAAGCAAGTTTCTTCTTTTTTCTTGCAACCTGTGAATTTTCAGCGTCCTTTTGCCTTTTACAAAGTTGTGGCAGGTTGGACCTCCCCTGGTGGTGCAGTGGTTGAGCGATGGGTTGCGAGGCTGCCTGCAACCTCTGCAGCGCCAGTTCGATCCCCGGCCACTGGCGAGGGTCCACAAAAAAAAAAAAAAAAAAAAAAAAAAGTTGTGGCAGGCAACCGCTTTGGCAATTTTTACACCAAGCTCGCGCGTGGCCAGCTGGTCACTGTGCTCCTCAGCCTTCTCGATGTCCCACTCACCCACTGCCTGGTCGACGCTCTTCTCCAGGCTGGACTTCTCAACTTTTTTCTTTTTAACAGGGGGATCAAACCTATCATTAATTCCAAAATACTGAGTAAGTTCCTTCCACTGGGTTTCACTTGAGGTCTGTGCACTCTGAGATTCTTCTTCATCCTTCAAGCTACCTTTTTTGGAGCGTTTTCTTTTTCTCCCTTTGGATCTTGAAGTTGAGGTTTTCTGTTCAGAGTGTCTTTTATGCAACTCTTGAAATGTATTCCACATATTTAAGGGAATTCCAGAAGGACATTCTTCATAAGCATTTACATTTGCTTCCACTTCGAGTTTGGGGCCATCTCTAGGGGACGCTGCGAAGCCTGCTTTTGTAATGCGCCCCTCTCCTTTATCGCCCTGTAAGTTAAGCCCAGAGTTCTCCAGTGTGGCTTCATCTTCAGAATTCAACTCAGTGTCATGTTCGCTCAGGCCAGGAGGCAGCAGCCCACTCCACATGTTTTCTTGGGTCTGGAGCCGGCCGCCCGGCCGCCATCTTATTGGATTTCTTTTTTTCTGAACTTCTTTTCCCAGTTTTTATGTATTCTGCTTAGAAAACCTTTCAGTTATAAATTTAAGTTATAATGTTTTTAGGTCCAGTATTTTTTTACTTAGTTCATTAAAAACATCCTGGTTCCTTACCAAAATGTTCAGTTTTGTCTAGAACATACGAATTGAAATCTGAAGTTCATATTCGCTAACTTCTTTATCTGGATCATGTAGGAAGTTTCTATTGTCCTTTTTTTCTCTTGGGTTTTGTTCAAGTCTCTCCATATATATATTTAATAGGTTCTTTTTACTGGGGGACAGATGTTGCTCATATAAAAATTTTACAGAGATAATTTAAGGCTCTGTGAAATGTTATTTTTCTCCTGAGAGGATTTATTTCTGCTTTAGGCAGGCAAGCTAGCCTGGGACGCAAGCAATTTCTGATCACATTTACCCAGCTAGGGATTGAGGTTTCGAAGCTGGGCTTTAGTTGCTAAAAGGGCCGATCTGTTTCCGATACCCTTACTTTTAAAGAGTAGTCTCTCCGAACCCCATCCAAAATCCTCATGTGCTTACGAAGGCCTCTCTTCCTTGGTAGACCCTGAATTTGCAGAATCACAATCACAACAAAAAAGACAGCTCTTTGCAGCCAGGCTCACTCTACTGAACTTCCTTTCCTTATTCTTTGCTCTGTAATCCCATGTCTTTGTAACTCTCCAAACCCTTCAAATATGTCATTAAAATATTTTTCCAGCTTCCCTTATTCCTATGGTCCATTCTAGCCATGATTCATTTGAACCAGAGCATTTGAATGGGGAAGCTGTTTGGGATTGGCTGTGGGGAGGAATCACCTTACCCCACTTCCAGGCACTGATTTTCTTTTTAAAGATTTATTTATTTATGCATACAAGAGCTGGGGTACAGGCCAGAGGTGTGGGGGGGGTGAGAGGATTCACCAGAGACAGAGTGGGGAGCAGAACAGGCAGATTGAGTGACATACACTACTAAGGGGAGCAGCGGGCGAGAGGTCTACTGCACCATGTGGGTCACCTTCCTGGCTGGGGATTGAACTCATGCTGTAGTGGCTGCAGATAGTGGCTACAGATAGCTTCATAGTGCTGCGTCTTAACCCCTTGCACCACCGGAGAAACCCCCAGGCGCTGATTTTCTATTTGAGAGGACTGTGAGGGAAAGTCAGGAAATGGGGGATTGGGGAGGGCTGTCAGATTTTAGTCAGGATAAGAATAAAGGATATATCCTGAAAAATGCTGAGGAAGTTGAAGAGTTGGAGGAGTGGAGGGCTAATGCACAAGTTTTTTTCTTTTTCCCTACTTTTGGGATGTGTTTGGTTGAACTAGATGACATCTAGGTTTCCTTATAATTTGAAGTTCTAGGATTCTATTAAATCAGCTGGGCTTCCATTTAGGTTAATTTAGAAGTTTAATTAGAATTTAAAGTTTTTCTGTAAAGATAAGGAGGCTTATCATCATAAAGAAAACTTCTGGGTTTTAATTTCAGCACAATAACTCCCAGTTGTGAAACACTGAACTGGCTTCTTTATACAGTATACAATGTGATTCTAAAATCTTAAGTCCAAAGGGAACCAGTTGCAATATTATCTGTCAGGAATTTACTGTCCTGTGGACTATTGTATAGTATACATTTTTTGAAATGGCCTAATTTCCTCATATCTTGTACTGTTATGATTTTATTATTTTGCACATATAACCTACAGGTCCAGGATTGTTCCTTGTTCACGGTGGAAAATCCTCCACTCACCCAACCTCTCCTGGGTCCCCATGTTCATACTCTGCCCTTTCTTTCCACTGACTCTGCTCTCCACTTTGCTCTCCATTTTGTATTTTTCACTGTCTCTCTACTTAAAATTTCCAAAATTCACAACCTTTCCACTGACTATTTCTTTCAGTCACTGACTTCATCTAACTCCTGACTCTCCCACAGGAATCTTGCTTCCCCTGAAACCTTCTCTTTCCTCACTTCTTAAACTATCCTTTCAGGCTCATGACCCCCTAGCAGCATTGAGACTGGGCAAGCGCAGCCCCTACTCTCCCGATTCCCTCATGCCCTCCTGTGAACTCCCCTTACTATTGCCCTCATGTTCTAGTTCCTATGAACTCCTGTCACTCTCATACTCAGGTACATCTTTATTCTAGCAATGTCCCAACTTCACTGAGTCCCTCATTCCATTTATTCATCCCTTTTTTATCACCACCACCTCTACCCCTTAGCATTCTTACATCTTTCCATACCCAGTGATTATGGCGCAGGCCAATAATCATTCTCTTTCAAATTCTTTATTATCCCGCGTCCCTCTCATACTGTGCCCACATCCAGATAGTTGAACATGTCTGGAGAAAAATCACACAACCATGTTGGCAAAGCAGACTTCAAACTGTTAACCTCAGATCAAGGGGACACTCAGAACTGGTAAGTCATCCCAACCTCTAGTAAGTTCACTTTCCTGCTCCCCCCAGAATGATTTCCTTACTTTCCTCTCATGATTCAGACCCCTGCTTCCCCCTCTCTCATACCTCACAGTGAAAATAAAATGAGGAGAAAGCTGCCTCATCTCAGCACCAGTGCATGAGCAAATGGACATTTCTATCCGGACACTCTGCCTTTATTCCTGTTCCCATGGGAAAAGTGGCTCTGCCTCTTTCCAAAACAACATAAAATAGAAAAATTGGAGAGTGAAAGGCAAAGTCAGTATTTTCAAGTTAAGTTGAAAATGGAATAAAATCAAGGAATAAACAGAGGTGTAAAGTTCAGGATTAAGTGAAATCATAGATATTGCTAGTTTGTTGCCTAAGAAATTGGAGGAGCATAGAATCATGTATTGAAATGAGAAAAACTTGATGAGAGGGAGGGTGGATTTGGAGAGAAAAATCAATCCAATTTGAGTTACCTTTCATTGAGATGCCATCAAACTATCAATAGGCTCTTTAGATAAACTTGTATAGGAGTCTCTAAGTTGAAGGTTTAACTTTAGAGTCACTGACCTATAAAAGGTACTTAAAATCATGGAACTGGATAGAACCACTTAGAAAGAATATGTAGACATATGAGTTCTACAAAATCCTGGGGGGAATTCCAATACATAATTATAGGTCTAACACAGGGTGAACTTAAGAAATGGAGTTTAGTAGTTTTTCTAGTTATTATCAAATCATATTCCATCGAAGTCATCCTATTTCTTCCCAATAGCACAGTATGAAAATATCCCTTTTTGGTGAAGGAGAGATTTGGACTTTTAGCAGTGACCTTAATGTGGTATATACACATGTTGATTATCAGTGATGGATATCTGAAACTTATATATGTTATGATGTGTTACCTCAATAAAAAAAAAATGCCCTTTCCCCCCACCCTTTTTAATTCATCATGTTTCAAAACTTTTCTGTCTTTGTTAATATGGCATTAGCATATAAATGGCATTTCAGTATAGTTTTAATTTGCATGAATCTTCATATGAGTAGGCTTCAGTATCCTTTCAAATGTGCTTGTTTGTACCTGTCTGTGAAGTGAAATATTTGTTTTTGGGTTTTTTTTTGTAGTAATAAGGGTTTTTTTTTAATTTTATTTTTATATTCCCCATACAATTACAACCCCCTTATTTTGACCCCAAGCCCTCCTTTCCCCGCCCTCAACCCCCCCATAGAGTGTCTGTGGTTCGTAGTTGTTTGTTGATTTGGATATTTTCTTTCTTATAGTTATTCTTTTTCCTGGTCCCTTATTTAAGTTTTCTAGATTCCTGCTATGAGTGAGAACATCCGGTATTTTTCTTTTTCTTTCTGGCTTATTTCGCTGAGCATGATCCCTTCCAGTGCCATCCATGTTGCTGCAAATTGCATGTGTTTATCTTTCTTGAATGCTGAGTAATATTCCATGGTGTATATGTACCACATCTTCTTGATCCAGTCATCTATTTTTGGGCATTTGGGTTGTTTCCAAAGCTTAGCTATTGTGAACAGTGCTGCTATAAACATAGGGGTGCAGGTGCTCTTTGGAATGGATGTTTCTGTGTCCTTTGGGTAAATATCTAGGAGTGGAATTGCTGGATCATATGGAAGTTCTATGTTTTGTAGGTCAAGAAATCTCCACACAGGCCTCCCTGGTGGCGCAGCGGTTGAGCGCTGGGTTGCGAAGCTGCCCGCAGCCTCTGCGGCACCGGTTCGATCTCGGCTGCTCCCCGGCCACCAGAGGAGGGTCCCACATGGCACGCAGACCTCTCCTGCCGCCCGCTGCTCTCCTCAGCAGTGTACTTCATCACTCTGCCTGTTCTACTCTCCACTCTGGCTCTGGTGAATTCTCTCACCCTCCTGCACTTCTGACTGTACCCAGTACTTGTATAAATAAATAAATAAATCTTTAAAAAAAAAAAAAAGAAATCTCCACACAGCTCTCCATAGTGGTTGGACCAGTTTGCACTCTCACCAAAAGTGCAGGAGAGTTCCTTTTTCTCCACATCCTCGCCAACATTTGTTGTTGCTAGTTTTTTTAATATGTGCCATTCTCACTGGTGTAAGATGGTATCTCATGGTAGTTTTGATTTGCATTTCCCTGATTACAAGTGATGTTGAACATTTTTTCATATGCCTGTTGGCCATTTGCATTTCCTCTTCAGGGAAGTTTCTTTTTGCTCTTCTGCCCATTTTTTGACTGGATTATTTTCTTTGTTTTTGTTGAGTCTCATCAGCTCTTTGTAGATTTTTGTGATCAGTCCTTTATCATTAGTGTTGGGTGCAAAAATGTTCTCCCAGTCGGTGGGGTTTCTCTTTGTTTTGGTTATTGTCTCTTTTGCTTTGCAGAAGCTCTTTAATTTGATGTAGTCCCAGCTGTTTATCTTTGCCTTCACAATCACTGCTTTGGGTGATGTGTCTGTAAAGATGTCTTTGAGGTGCAGATCATGTAATGTTTCGCCTATATTTCCTTCTGTGTATTTTATGGTTTCAGGTCTTATGTCCAGTTCTTTGATGCATTTGA